CGTCATGTCGAGATAAAATTGGTAAAATGGACAGAGTAGACATAAGTACATCTGTATCACAACTTTACTATTATCCAATAAAAAGTTTTAATTAAGAGACATTGATGCACCTAAGTGTTTTTCTTTATCAAAGTGTTATAGGAAATTCACAGATTTCTCTAAAATAAGTAATCAATAATACACAAGCTGTATTCTATTACATTTCTCACGTTCCATTGTTATTTTGCTCGAGATAAAACAGATGAAATATATAGCAATTTGTATACTGAAGTGAAAACACTACGATTGTCATCTATATTTAAAGCCTTTATATCTTTATATGGTTACTCAGTAATACTAAGAACTACCTCAAAAAGACTCACATTTTATTTTATATACCTATAAATTGAGAACTGATCAAAATTTATTCTAATTTTGGACAATGTTCTCCACTACAGTGGGTCTCAGTTGGAGAAGAAATAACGTGTATGTCACCACGACCCCTGGTACTGTGCACAAAACACTACGAACGATGACAAAGAATCTCCAAGCTGTTAGAGCCACACGTAAGTCTACACACTGGGATACAAATCCCTGTAACTGAAGATGAAAGGATAGGTCTTCAGTGTTTTGGTTTACAGCAAGCTGCTCGGTGATTTGTCTCCACTTCTCGTCTTCCTCGTACACAGAAACGGCCTGTAATGTGATTAGAAAGAACCCAATGACGAAAAAGGAGCTTCTTAGTAGCATGTACAGTTTCATGATAGGAACAGAAGCACTTCTAATTCCAAAAATAATATTTGTTACATCGGTACTTAAACTAAAAACAAAAAAACAGTACCATGTGAATAAGGCTGGACTTAGAATAGAATCAAGATCTGTGGTGTGACTGTATATTTCCCAACGAACTCTCCTGATAGTGATCAGTTTGTGGGTGTTTACTGTCGTGTCTTGACTCACGTTCTTTCTTAAGTTTTGCAGTTTGCAAACAACAGAGTTACAAAAAAATATATATGTTACGACAGGAAAAACTATAACGCTGTAGCCAACAAAACAATGTAAAAAGTGGTCAAGAACAAATATGAAATGCAGGAGGTAAAGGTGATTATTGGTGGAGAACCATACATGATAGAAATCGTTGGCAATTTCCTCTGGCAACAAATAATAAGCTATTATCATCCACATGATGAAAAGTATCAGCATCATGCTCCAGCATCCCAAAACATAAATATTTATCTTCATATTCTGCCTTCCCTTGTCTTCCATATCACCATCTAGGAGTCTCGACACCGTCCATGATAGATGCTGTCTTATTTTGGTTTCATTGTAAGCAAAGACGTCAGCAGTGATCAAAGAAGTTATGGTTCTGGCTAAAATAGCTAAATCTCTCCACAGAGATCCTTTCGCGAAGGTCAGATGCACTATGAAGTATATAGTGTACAGATGGATATAGCCGAATATGAATATTCTGACTAAAAAAGATATTTTGGGGATCTTTTTTATGTGGTAATTATATTCTGTTTGTTTCCAGGATCCTTTAAATATTCCTGCTCCTTTCAAGCACAACAACAACAGCCAAAGAGGTGATTTTTCTTTTTGGAATGAAGCTTTAGGTAATGTAAATGTCTCCGGTAGGTCTATATGGAAAGGAACCACCTGTGGACGGTTTTTGGTCAACGTTTTGTTCTCCAAGCTGAAACCTTCGAGGGATTTTTCTTCCTCGACGTTGGTATTTTTGTGGACCATTCCAATTGGCTGCACTTTACAACTTAACGATAGGCTTTTAACCCTCCTTGTTCTTTCTTTCAGAGGTATGGCTGGCTTTATAGGACCAACGTTGAAGATCCTTAACTCGGACATCCAGAAGAAGAACCTGGTGGAGATCTAGATCAAAGACGAGACGGGAGAATGATGACTTACGTTTGCTGCAATGCAAAGATAATGGTGAAATTACGTGAATGGACTTTATATAAAACTTCCTATATCGCGTGCAGAGAGTCGATTATAAGATGAACTGGAACTGCGTACGATATTGTTGTTGGTTTTTCTTTGACAACATTCACGTTAGGAAATATGAAAGAATAAACAGGCTTTTTATATTCGTGATGCGCAATTGGACAGAAAGTTCTTTCGCTTGAGTAAACAGTTCTTGCTTTCGTCTTTTCATGATATATTGACACATTACAAATATAAAACGTTGAACGGAACAATAGAAATAAAAAAAAATAATTTCCACAAATACAAATGTCTATAAAGATTTTCTTGAGGTCATCCAGTCGTAATCTTTCTCAATCTTGTTTTCAACATAATATTTTACTGTGCTTTACACAGTAACATCACATCTCTGTCAGTCGATTTTTAGTTTAACGAATTTATCAAAACACTAGTATATCCAAATAACTACAGAATCTCAGACAAGTAGCGATGCTCGTGCCAAACGCGTCACATGGAATCTCGAGAAAGATAAATGTTCGGTCGAGTACTTCATTAATTAATAAATGACTCAGTACAAACCTTCCATTGCCATTTTTTTACTAGAAAAATATTTCACGTTAACACTAGAAAGTAAAACACCTCGAGGTTATATGTCATATGCTTATGATATCCAACTGTTTGCCGTTTCTTTGTTGTAGTGAAAACCTACACATTGGTTATCTGCACTGTGCCCACCGCGGGATATCGAATCCCAAACTTTAGCTTTATTAGCACAGAAAGACTACCGCTAAGCCTCGGAGGTTCTTATTATATCAATATTTTATTTAAGTTTCGTATTAAAAATGATAACAATTTCTTTGATACCAAATGGCCTGCCCCCAATGGCACAGCGATGTGTATAACCATCTTCAATGTATAACAACCCTCAAAATAACCAACTTAGATAACAACAGGAAATTCAAACACCATTCACAAATATCTGAATCATGTAGTTAAGATGCTTCTATTCTTTTTTTCACAACTTTATAATGACAAATGTTTTTTTCTCATTAAAGACAAAAAAAGAAACAAAAGATGGGCTATCTGTGCTCTGCCCACCCGGTTTGTAGCGTTGTAAGTCCGCAGACAATACTGCCGTGCTACTGGGGCGCGAGTTACTCTTTTACCAACGAATAGTGGGATTGACCGTCACTTTATAACGCCCTGAAAGGACATGTTCGATGGTTGGATTCGAACTCTCGACTTGCAGATTGTTAGTCAAATGCCGTAATCACCAAACCGTGACAGACCCCTAACCCGAGATACACATACCGGAAGTCGCCACCGCTAACTGCGGAACATGCGCACTCGTAAACTTGAGTGAATCTTTAGTTATAAGGAAACCTACTTAAAAATTTGGAAATAAAAACAAAACTAGGTAATAATACGATGCTGAATTATAATATATTTTACAATGACGTTCATAGTAAATCTTTATTGCGAAGTTGTTGTTTTTCTTTCTAAGGTTTGTATTTCATTCTATTTGAGTCTACAGAGCCAATGGTTAAACGATTCTCGTATCTAAATCACCTAGTAATCTTATATACTGAATGGAAATAATTTCCATTTATTTCCAATGTTAGTGATATCTAAAGAGAGCTTATCAACCTCGCTTGCGTGATCAATCCAATCGTGTGCTTCTACTGCCCGAACCTAAAAGTTACATGTTAATTGAAAATTAACATAACATACACTGATACAGGTACACAGTATAATTCTTCGTGTTCAAATGAACGCCGAACATTAAAATTACAAAACAGATACTTTATTATAATTGTACTTAAGCAGGAACAAGAAGAGAACACAGTGTGATATAGAATTCTATTAGATCTCTGCTTTTCGGAACAGAGTTCATGATTACTTTCTGCAAATTACAGAAAGAACTGTAAGGATAAACAAGTTTAGAATATCATATATACATATATATATATATTTCAAATTAGCAAATACTAGTGAAACAACTGGTTATTTGTGCTGGAATCGAATCCCAAATTTTAGCGTTATAAGCCTGAAGCTTACTGTTGTGCCACCGAAAACTATATTTTTATAAAAATTATTCATATGTATAAAACTAAATATGGAAAAATATTTTAATACTAGTCAATTTAATCTTTTTCTATTAATTTGGGAGCTTATAACCCCAATTTGCACATATTTTGCTCTTTCATTAACCAACAATATATTGTTACGTCTCTGGTCGTTGATTAATTTTCGGACAAATTCTTTCCGAAAAACTTCAGCGATACAAGTCCTTTCTTAAATAAAACTAGTTTATTCTTTCTCAATACAACTTTGCAATACACTTAATTTCCACAGTCACTTTAACTTGAACACACGCTATAATTCACAACGATTCACGCACTTTACTTACAACTTGACTCGATTATCTGTCTCTATCTCTTCAATCGGCAATTATTCATGCCGTCACTTCTTTTGCCGGCTTATATATACAAAAACAGAGGGCGCATAGACAAGACTAGAGTTGCCACGAACAGACATGATCCTTCTAGAATCTCATGACGTGTTACTAGGGTCACGTGACTTCCACTGTCGTAATAATATATATATAAATGTGTATAGCCCGTCAAAAATGACGGGTGTTAAGAAAACTTTATAAAACTACTATAAGTTAACTAATAAAAATTATAGGAAGAAGGGATCGTACACTATAATTCAGAACGTAATAATAACAGGTCAGTTTTAGTGAAAGGAGGCGGATGGATTTCGTGATTTAACTAAACTGAATTCCACTGTTATAGTGTAAAGCCCGTCAAAATTGACGGGTGTCGAGGAAACTCTGTATAGATTCTATAAATCAACTAACAACAGGGCCCCTAGTAGCACAGTGGTATGTCTGGAGACTTACAACGCTAGAAACCGGGTTTCGATACCCGTGGTGGGCAAAGAACAGATAGCCCATTATGTATCTTTGTGCTTTACTTCAAAACAAACAATAGATAGCTTTTAAGTAGTTTATCTAAAAAGCAAAGATATTTTAACCCATTCTCGTAATAACAGAGGGCGCTAGTCCTTGAGCGAGTAAGAGGTCGAAATTTTAGGGTTCGTTTGATCGCAACTTCGGTATCGTTAACTTTTCAATTGACTGATGTTGAAAATTATATAAAGTGCCTAATCTTATATAATTTAAAGAGCACCGGTGTTCAGGAAAAAAGGTAAACAGCATTGCGATACTTCATTTAAAATTTTCAGAAAAATCCACCTTGTTGTGGTACTTGTTTATATTTAACATTATAAACTAATCCAGAATCGTTTCGTAGGTAGGCCTAAGTAAAAAATTCCTGTTGCTGAATTAGTGAGTTACTATACTAAGTTATAAATACTAATTTTCTGTATATCAACAGACTACGTTATGGTCCTGAAAGTTGAAGTTGGTGCTAGTCTTACAAAGTTTGTGGATGTCGTACTGAGTACAATAACAACATTGTTATTAATGATAATTTATAGTATAGTACAATTTAATTCGTGTCAAAGATTCCATTTCTAATTGAATTATTACTCTCTTTTTGTTTTAATAGTCTTTTTAAAAGTTTTAGAGAATATTGAGTTCTATTCTAAGCCTAAGGCTTGCTTATTAACACATATGAACTTTTTAATTTTTTCCCTCTTTTTTTTTTTTTTTTCGCAACTTGGCTTTAGGTTTTATTCTGTACAAAAATCTAGATTTATTTTAACTTTTAATTTAAACTGGTGAAAATATAATTTTTTTCTATTTTGAAATTATTCAAAGTATAATATTTTTTGCACAGCTAATTGTAATGAGTTTAGACTTAGAAGTTAGTGTGTTAATTGCCATATGGCAGAGTTTTTCAGTTAAGTTTGTTTTCACAAGAGAGGATGCTTAGCGGTATTCATGACCCTGAGCATGCTGTGGGAAATATTGGAATTGACCCGAATCAGTAGATAAAAAAAAATGTGTAAAAACAAAAGGATTAAAGTATCAAAAATAAATAAAATACCAGGACCAAATAATGTTTTTACCAGAGTTTTTGAAAGGTGTTTAAAGATCAGATACTTAAGCCTTTCCTCATTTTTGTTAGGTCAATAGACAGTTGACAGATGCCTGTTATTCCTATTTTTAAAGGTGGTGTTAAGAGTTGCTCTTCAAATTATTGGTCAGATAGTCACTTTTCTAATGGCTAAAGTTGTACAGAGCATTATAAGAGAAGCTTTCAAAAATTATACAGTGAAATTAATTTCATAAAAAAGAACATGGATTCAATGAAGTAAAGGGAAATTTTTTCCTTACTAATCTATTGATGTTTTGTGAAATTACTTATTTTGATGATGGATGTTCTTGGATTTTCAGAAGGCTTTTGATAAGATACCACACAGAATATTAACTATTAAAAAAAATCAGGTTGGTAGGGTTAGAGAAGAATAGTTGATTGGATTTTAGGGTGGCTGGATGAAAGAAAGTAGAAATATTGTTACTAGTGTAGTTTAATCATATTGAATTTTTGCTGTTTTTGTAGTATTAATGATGTGCCCCGGAAGTTGGTTCTTTTTTATATCAATGATACTGAGAGGGGAGTAATTAGTAAATTAGTAGTTTCTTGATGACATTAAACCTTTGAACACTTCTAACTGTATTGAGGATGTTGAGGTACTACGAAATGATTCAAATAAGTTGGTAAGTTAGATAAATATGGTATATTTACTGGACCAGTTCACAGTTATTTAGTAACGTCAAAATGTGAGTGTAATATGTATAATATCTGGTGCTTCCCATGCTTCTGTACATCTAAAACCTTGTGTATTATTTAAAAAAATATAAGTGTAAAGATTACAAGTATTTTGTTGAAGGATAAGTGAAAAGATAATTGTAATTTTAATGGCTAGGACAAAAAATATAAATAATTATCATATTTGCATATCTTTGTGACAAATTCTAAATTAAAATGCTTAAATATCAATAATTAAACCCAATATTGGTTATTGTTGAAAAATAAATTATTTGATATAAAGTAAAACAAAGTTTTAGACAATAATAGAACATATATATTTCACTACTGTTATGGTATGAACTTTTCTGAACTGGCAAACCATAATTATACTTGTGATAATACATCAGTGATATTGTATAATAGTAATAATTAGTATAATTGACCTAATACTATTGTCTAATAACAAGTATAATTATTTCACTACTGGTTGAAAATCATCTTTGCAGTACTTTGATTTGGCAAGAAAGATTTCAAATATATGACGAAGCCTTAGCTTTAAGTTACATATCTCGTGTGGGTGTGTGTATATATATATATATATATATATTGACCAGTCTAAAATCATGTATTGGTGCTAAAAAATCATTAGGATTGAAAGGCTTTTTTATAATTTGAAAATTCCTTTCTGGAATATCTTGGAATTTTAGGATATCACAAACTATGTCTTATTCTTTGGAAATTTATGCTAGGTTATGTTATCACTACCCATTTTACTTTGAAAATGACTATTTTCACAGTTGGATACAAAACAATACCACTGGTGCATTTCATTGTTAAGGGTAAGATTTTTTGGGCTTATTTTCTTGTGATAATTGACTACCAATGAGCATTTTTTACATCAGTTAGCGCTACATAAAATAATTAGTTAATTAAATGACAGTTATATCATTTAATGTCTCAAAAATAATAAACTAGTCCAAATAGTACCATTTTTGATAATTTAGCTATCTAATGATTGAAATATCACCAGTATTATTTTTTTATTAATTCAAGTTTGTTCAGTTTAATGGGTTAATATCATAACTCACAATAATAATCAACTACAGGAATTGAGAATAATCAGTTTGTTGAAAACAGTTGATTAATGAGCCTAACAATTATCCAGTTACACTAATTGTACAGCTTTGCTTACCAGTGACATTTGTATGATGTACACTATGTATGACACATCAACACCACTTAGTAATTTTTTAAGATAAGTTGTTTCTTTTTACTGAAAAGAATTCTTGTAGTAAAAAAAAAGGGGGAAATATTTCCAAAATTAGAAAAAATTACTAGCAATTGTCTTTGTAATATAGTGGCAGCTTGTACTTGGTGTAGGGTTGCTAGCAAGACAAAAATATATCATGCTATAATAGCTTTTACAAAGAAACTGAAGACTGTCCTTTCTGAACAGTGTTGAAAAATTATCCCAAACAATATAAAAATACTGCTTCTGAAATTCACTTCATTGTAACTTGTAGTTTGGTTATTACATATGTTAACTACAGACTTGTATATGTATGTTGCACTTTTTCAAATTTTGATCAAATGTGCAGAATTTTGGCAACTATTTTGCCTTATTGGTTAATGTGATATTTTTTCATGATTTTTTTTTATAAAAAATAGTGACCAAGCATTATTTGAATTTGCCTTCAGTTTTATATGATAATATATATAGTTTTTAACTTTTTAAGATATGAATACATGTATGCCATTAAATTTAAAGTTTTGAAAGTATTTTATCACATTTGAAATTATTTAATTTGATACTTCAGATTTCCAGTCTGATTTTGCAAGAGTGTAACTCAGAATGGGTCGCTCTAATGGAAGGAGGGATGTAAGGATTCTTTTAGTTGGTGAACGTAAGTTTATAGTTTTAATGTATTATTTTGTGCAAATTTTATTACCTTACATTCATTTTGAGCCTATAATAGATTCACAGACATTTAGATGTAATATAAATAAATAATTAATGTGTATTATCTTTATGCCTACGAGTAATTGGAATAACTTGTAATTTTCATGAAACCTTAGTGTTTTACTGAGTATATATAGTTGACACTATATATTTTTCGTGTGTAAATAAACAGTATTAGCTATTGTGAGACTTAAGTTAATGTTTTTTCCACATTGAAATGTGAAAAAAAAACATAGTACTATTTTTTTAAGTAGAGCATTTTGTCGCAGATCTCTCTTTAATATATTTAATACATACCTTAACCACATGACCTGATACATTTGTATACTTCATGTTATGCTACAGAAATTGTCAACCAAAATGTACATGCTGTTTTAGAAAGTATTCGTCTAACCAAGTCTAGGATAAGGGAAAACTGACTTAGGCAAGTGAAAAAAAAATTTTTTTCACATTAGTTTTGCCTGTTCATTATTAGGCCAAAATAATTCCTGTAACCTGATTTTTTTAAAATACAAATCAAATGTTAGTATTGGCTTTTTTCTTTAAAAAAATCTCTGGGATGTGAAAAATATGGTTGTTGAAAGTTGTATAGAATTGTAGAACATATGAATCAAGTGAAATCGTGAATAAATTAAAAACTGGCAGTTTGATAACTTGAATAATTTAATGTTCTTCATCTCACTATGATCCAATTATTAATGTAGCAATTGGAAATTAGCAGAATGTAATGATTAGATTATTCAGGTTAGTGATCTGTTTTTATCTTATTGTGTTTGCCATGTGTTGTTCACAAAATCGGGTAACTTAGAACATGATGTGGGTCCTTCTGGTGCACATTATATAATATTTACTATTTACCAATGAAATTAATTTGGCCATTAAATTTAAAACAACATTCATAGAAAATACTTTTATGATTGTTGAAAAATACTGCATCCCATTTTATATTTAAAATGCATAAATATATGATTCCCCTACACCCATACATAGTTTAATTAGCAATGTGCATGTATGGCCAGACAGTAAAATATAAACAGCAATGGTGAGTCAGAGACTGTTGTTCAGTACAATGAGAGGAAAATGCAAACACTTAAAAAAAATATGGATTTGATGCATATAATATGGTCAAAATCTACACACACACATATCATATTGGCCCAATTGTAGAAGAAAAATTTTTTTTTTTCCCTTAACAAATACTTGTGTTTGACATAAAATACCGGTAAAAAGAAAAATCAGTAAGTAAAATACAGTCTGGTATCATACATTTGTGTTGATTCATTATATATTACTCTACTTGACATCTGGTATTGTAAACTAGTTTTTAATAGCATTTATGATTATCAGATATTATTTTTATAGACATGTTATTCATTCTGACTGTGGTAAATGCTTTAGTTCATAAACAAATTATTTTATGATTGAAGTGTTAGTTTTGAATAAATGTGTTAAAGTCATTTGTTCTTTGTTTCTTGTCTCATACAGGCAATAGATGAGTCATTTAAGAGCTTGTTTTAAGATGGTGGTAAAAGTACTATTTTCACAACTTTCAAATTATGATGATAAGAGAACAAAAGTGTGAGGATAAGTAGAATAAGTACACATTAAAAATGGAAAATAGTACCTGCTTGATCTACAGGATGAATAGCCCATAACTTATGTCAAACGTTGTTAACTTTATACATACAAAATACAGTTATATCCCCTTACATAGCTTTTCTATTTGTTTTAGTTGAACATGAATAAAAAAAGTGTGAATGAAAGTTAAGGAAATGAGGTAAACAAAAACCTTTTCCAAAATTATCCTTTTCTATAACAATAAATAAATTTTGTGAAACAAAACTTTCTATTAATTTCTGTGTACTCCATGTTTGTTAAATGATGTAGCTTTTGTGTACCATACTATATTTAAAATGTAATTTATGGTTTTATGTTAGACACTAAGCCGCACATGAATATTTGTGAAAATAGTTTAAAATAATAATTGTATGTTGTTGTTTTTTGGAAAGTTTGACTGAAAGATAAAAAAGATAATTTTGTAATTTGACATGCTTTTAGTTTATATGAAATAATAATTTCTTTGGATTCATCAAACTTCAGCTCAGTTATTTTTTTATTATTGTTATTTAGCTGGTGTAGGAAAGACGTCTCTAATCCTGTCGCTAGTGAGTGAGGAATTCCCTGAAGAAGTTCCTCCTCGAGCAGAGGAGATAACTATACCAGCAGATGTGACTCCAGAAAAGGTTCCTACTCACATAGTAGACTACTCTTGTAAGTTTTCTCATTCTTTCAGGATTTACAGACTGATGTTTTTTCTAACATATATCTTCCATTAATAATAATTTTGTCCACAGTGTAACAAAAAGATAAGAAAAGTCCTCTGTCATTTTTTTTCTAAAACAAGTATGTCTATAAAACTGTTGTTTAAATTTTTAACATAAACATAATGAGAGACTATTATGATAGTTATAATTTTTGGTGTTTATAATCAAATTTGTATTATTATAAAGTTCCATATGAACCTTTCAGTTCTGTAACTTACATTGTTTTTTATATAACTTGATCTTAAGTACAAACAAAAAAAATAATTTTAAGAAAAAGACCAAGGGAAAAAAAAAACATTTTAGATAATAAAAGACCAGAAAAATTAAATTCACTTGCATTTTTATGCTTCACTGGCACAAATATCAAACAATGCTTATTTAAAATTAGAGCAGAGGACTCATAAAGAACCTGCATGACCTTTATTCAGACTCATTCTCTGTGCCAATTTGGTCAAATAGCAATGACCATAAGCACACTTTGCAAGAAGCATGACAAAATTTTTTGAGCAAACATTCATTACCAAGTACTAGCCGATAAAGCTGTAACTGTACGATACGTGAGTCATGATACAATATCAGTCAATTTTAGCATAGCAGCAACATGCAGGTTCAGAATCTTGCAAACTTGACATTAAAATTGCAAGGACTTTGAGTAGCATACCGATTATGCTAGTTTCTAACAGAAAGCTTGGGGAATGACATTTTAAGGTAGATCCTAAAGCCACTGGATTGTAGCTCAGCGGAGACACACCTAGAGATCAGAATAAAGTGATGAAAGCTTAGCTTGGTGATATGTTGGTAGAATCAAGTGGATTGCAGCTCAGCGGAGACACACCTAGAGATCAGAACAAAGTAATGAAAGCTTAGCTTGGTGATATGTTGGTAGAATCAAGTGGATTGCAGCTCAGCGGAGACACACCTAGAGATCAGAACAAAGTGATGAAAGCTTAGCTTGGTGATATGTTGGTAGAACAAAAGAAGTTTTACTACAATTGCGGTCTTTATTTGTATTTTTCAAAAATTGCAAAAATCTTGCTTTATCTTTTTATATTTTATTTTAATTATGACATTGAAGTATGATAGGGGGAAAAAATGTTTGTAGAACAAGATCAGGTTGAGGAGTGTTAGGCTCAATTAAATAATTTTATACTTGAATCATATCAAGTTTCATTATGTTGATCTAAGGAACTGCTTGGATGGACAAAAATAATAACTGAAAAGGAATGAAAAAAACCATGTATGAGTGAATATAAAACAGGCTTCAAGCTTTATTAAATATAATAAATTAAAATTTCTGATAACAATTAAAAAAATTTAACTTGTTTGTAATTTTGGAAAGGTAAAAAGTTATATTTATTGACAAAATTATACATCAGTGATCGTAAACACAGTGAAACTGCATGTAGTGTTTTTCATACCCAAACAGATAAAAAATACAAGTTTATTGGGAAGCCATAGAAGAGTGTAAGAAAGCAAAAAGTTAGTAATCGAAATCTAAAATAAAGGCAAGCATTTTGAAATGTTTATTAAAAAAACATTTCACATAGGAATGTTTGGTTTCCAAAGCTAAGAATTCATATAAATATCACATATAAGAATGAGACTTTATTTACAGAAACTTCATAATCTGTAGAAAGCTTATCTCAAGTTTCAAAAAGTTTTGTCTAATAGATGAATTTAATATGCACTAAAACAAACCATAGAACAGGTGCATCGAACTCATGCATTCAGGCATTTAAGGGTTAAGCTTTGGAAACTCAGATATAAGACTTGTTTCTTTAACAAAAACATTTTTGATTAAGATTTTAAAGTCATGGAACAGCTTGCCAAATGTTAAGGTGTGTCCAGTTAGTTTGAATTATTTAAACGTTTGTTGAATATGAATATGAAGGGTTACAATTTAATTGATGTTTTAGTTGCATCTTTAAGTGGATGAGGGGTAACATTCTGTCTCTTTGCTTCTTTTTCATGTTTTTATTTAAGAGAGTGATTTAGTACTTACTAAAATGTATTGATATAAAACTAAGTTCAAGACCAGATTGTACATTTGGCTATTGTACAAGAAAAAAGTGTCTAAAATCGCCAACTGGGGATGTTGTTTCTAATGGTTGAAAAGAAAGAAAGCTAGACGAAGAGCTAATCCTCATCCTGTGGCCATTATATCAGTTTTTAGTAAACACAAAATAAGCAGTATGGTAATAAAACAGTTCCTCTTTTTGTAAGATTTTTGATATGTCTTCCTTGATGCTCTTAGTTTCTGTTAGTACAGTAATATGACACAGATGAAAATTTTATATAGGTCAGTAATGAATGTTAGATTTTGACCTGACATTATCAAATGAAGGTTTGAATCTTTTTGTAACTAGTTTTATATTTGGTCGAAAAAACTTTTATTTTACGGGTAATATAAAAATACATTATATAGAACAGTAATAACATTCTCATATATATACACATACACACATAGTTGATGCTATGTGTGATACTTGTATAGCTACATACAGTAGGCTAACTTGCACCCTGCTGTGACCAATTGACTTAAGCAAAACAGATCTTTATTTAACAATCACCATTTCAAGCAGGTTAACATTCATAGTCTATTTAAAATAAATTAATTAAAAATACCTAATAAACAGCAACATAGTTAGATTAAATTAAATATTGAACTTTAACAAAGTGTTTGTTATTTTCAGCCACATTCTTTATTAGTTAGACCTTGGGGAAGTAGTGCGTAAAATTACATTGATGCTCTATTTTCAACTTCACAATTATTAATCTTAGAGTATATTTTCTGTTTCAAACTTACTGTGCTATAATACTTCTCTTAACTTGTACATTAGGCACTCAGTACATTTTATTGAAGCAATGTTGCTGTTAAACCATAATGTACCTTTCTTATATTTTAAAGAGATATTAGTCTCGTATTAATGTCCATAGAATCTATGCAGTTTCTACCAGATAGTTTTGTGATAACAAGACAAAATCCTTCTCACCAGTGCTTTCATAGGAGTTAAGAAGTGTCAGCTATTTGTGGATCTGTTGTATATCGTGTGTGTGTGTACACATATTGGCATGATCTGATCCCTTGACACTTGTATATAGTTGGGGTAAATGATAGAAATACGAACTAGAAGAGGAGAACAGTTATATTACATCTCATTTAGTATGTGACTATTTCATAAATAATAAACACATGTTCATTTGATAAAGATGAGGTCATGTGATGCCTAGTGATTAATGTGCTGGACTGTGGATAGGAAGGTCCAGAGTTTGAGCTAACGATATGCTGCTGAACATGCTTCACATTTTCACCTGTGAGCACATTATAAAAACAACAGTTAATCCCACTGTTTGGTTAATACTAATTATGTAGGCAGTGGGCTCTGCTGATTGGTTGCCTTCCTGTTGGTCAACAGTCCTAAATTAAGGACAGCTATGTTTGAGACTTGGGGTGTCTGATATGGTCATCTAACTCAATATTACTTATGGTGCTGTTCAGGTCAAAATATCTTTATAAACATGAGTATTTTTAATTAATTGTTTTTACTAAGTTATCAAAAAAAATTTATCTTTTCAGAAATGCAGAATCAGTGGTTCTGTTGATCTGTAATTCTTTATCTTTGTGATTTAAAAAACAATGTTTCTGATGGTAATGTGTTATTTTACATATAAAAAAATACAAAGTGTAAATATTGTCAAGATTTCATTGATCCAGGTGGATTGCATTTTAAATTAATAAATTTTGGACCATTCTGTTTCTACTGTAAGTTTATAAAGTAGTCAATAAACAAACTGAATTGTATGAATATCATAAGTACATACAAAATATTTTTTAGAATAAGCTGATTTAAAATTGATTATTTTTGATGTGGTGTGCATATGGGTTTTTATTAATGTATATATAATTATTGACCACTTCTAGCTCAGGAGCAAGATGAAAATATTCTATTAGAAGAAATTAACAAGGTAAATATGGTTTCTCTAAAATATCCCAAATTGTTATATTCTGCAATCTTTTTGTAGAATCAAACATTAAACCAATTTCCTAATGTTACTTTACTACCACGGAGAAGAATTCTTTTGCTATCAGTGGTGATTGGTGAATATTTCAGGTGATAAATTATTATGACCAAATAAAAATTTGTTTAGTTAGATATTGAAAGCATTGTAATAGGTTTGTATAGCAGTGTAATATGTGTGGGACTTGGAAAGTTGTGGCAGTGAAGAAGTAGAACATTTAACAGTGCTATACAAGACATTCTGACATTTACCGAGATCAAGGCTTAGTTCTTTCTTTTACAAGTTTCTTCAACTTATTTATCAAATAATGTTGTTACTTTAAGGTGTTTATTAAGTATTGTTTTAAAATAATTAAAAATGCTTAAACTCCCTTATTTTTTTTTAAGTTACAATAAAATCAGCTCCTTTTAAATACATTTTCTTTTCAGAATTGAAGATGTGTCAAAACTCCATTTCAAAAAATCTGTGTGAACTGTTTAAAAATGTTTTCTTAAGATTGTGCCAAGAATAAATGCTCCAATGTTCAGTTAGTGCTAGCAGATAAAGTTTAATTTTTCATACTTGGTGTTAGGAGTTTAAGCTGCAATTTTTAAAAAGTTAACAGTACCTTCAATCAGTGCTAAGAGTAGAAATTTGGTAGAAAGAATTAGGAACTTAAAGAAGTAGTTCTCTTTATAGATCGTAACCAATCAGGTAATTGCTCATGTAACATTCCTGTTGTGTGACTTGTGTTCAAAAACTAGGTCAGTATAAGATGTTCACCTAGGGAGTAATTTTTTTCTGTGGTAAGTTTGATATTGGTATGTAGAGCTAAGTTATTAATTGATATAATTGGTTACCTATAAGCACTGATTAGTATGACATCATGTAATCAGTTAATCAAAATTATCATTAAATTGATTAATGTCGTGAAAATAATCAGCTAATCGAAATTAGTATTTCCATTTATTACAACTATACATATAATCACAATATTGATTTCTCATTATTTTTTATTAATTCAAGGTTGTTCAGCTTAATCATTTAGTGTCACAACTTACAAAAATAATCAACTAATTTAAGTTAGTGTTTCTGATTATTACTATTTTTGATTATTTCAGCTATTCAAGTCTCATGAGAATAATAGATTAATGAGCTTGACAATCAATCAGTTATCAAATTTCACTAATCACTTAGCTCTCTAAGTATGTTTTATTTTGCTCAAGTAAAGTACGTTTTAAACAAATCTTGAACCTCACATATAGTTTTACTCTATTTTCTTATATAACACAAATAGCTAGTATTACACTGAAACTTTCTAAAGGAACAAGTCACAATTACATTGAACAAGATGAATCTTAACTAGATAATTTGAACTGTTTTAAAAGATGTTTAGCTAGGAATTATTATCTTTTTTGTTGTTTTTTCCACACATATGTATCATTTATAGGCTTTATTTTAGCCTTCTTAGGGGCCAAAATTCTAAGCCATTTCCACAAATAACCCCAAAATTTCCTGGTTTTCACTTCGGTGATATAATATCTATCTTCCGTTAAACCAGCAGGACAATATAGCATATAAAACACTTTACTGCAACTGCTTTTATTAAAGCAATTCTCTAAAGGTTCGTGTCAAGTCACACAAAGTAAGTTGTTGGTGGTGGTAGATATAATTAACAAAGGTTACACTAGAAAGTATAATTATATTATGTGATTAACTATAACATTTTAATATACAGTACTTTACTGAATGAATACTTGTTATCGTATGCTACATTAATATGTATTCACGGTATAAAACTATCTTAGCTGACTGACTGTACTCTAGGTGAGATCTCAGATGCTCCTTATCCCAGAAAAAATGTTTTATATATATGTATTAGAACTTTTTCTTCTTTTATTTTAGGCCAATGTAGTTTGTGTGGTCTATTCTGTTGATGATGATGACACAATTGACAGGGTAAGCATGCACAGAAATTATATTTCATCCCTGTTTGATAAAAAATATTTAAATTTAAATAAAGTACAAAATGATTCAGTAAGAATCAGGTTTATTGTCTAAAAAAACTTTGTATTATTTAAGCTGTAAAGTTGTTACATGTCTGATTACCTTAAATATATGGTTTTCAGATCGGGTGGTTTGTTAAAGTCACCTTGCTCTTACTCTTAGCCCCCCCCCCCCCCCAGGGTGTCAGTGATAGGTCTGAGGATTTATAATGCTAACAATTCTGTTTTGATACCTGTGGTGGGCAGAGCACAGATAGCCAATTGTGTAGCGTTATGTTTAATATCAAGTGAAAAGGGTCTTCCTCATTTTGTTCTTGAAAGGTTAGGACTGACTGGTCAACCATTTAGGTCATGCATAGATAGCATTTCATTTCATGACTTTCTTGAAAATATCTTGTGGGCAAACAGCTAACACAATAAAAATTTAATAAAACATTAATTATGAACTTTAATAATAATAATAATGAATTAGTAGTATGACTGAACAATTCTTATAAAATTTAAGAGTTTAAAAATGATGCAGGAAAAACAATAATTTTTCTTCAGTTTTTTTCTCATTTATGTTTCGTTAGTGGTTGCAGTATTTGTTTTTCCATAAGGAGTTGTTACAGCACTATTTATGTAGAGTGATTAAAGCATCATCTTTTAGATGTATTTAAGTCACATGTGGTTAATGGGCTAAAACCTAGATGAGGGATTTTATTAAAATCTTAGTGTTTTAATGATAGTCTCTTGGCAACAGCATTGGGTTTTGAATTTGAACTTAATTTTTTTCATATATTCCAGACTTCAAAATATTTCTATATTGGACTAATTCAGGAGCTAAGTTTAACTGTTGTATAGTATGTGTAATTTCTACTGTTATTTTGATGAATCATATTTCAATTGATTTATAAGCCTTTTGTTTTCATTCAAAACTTAAGTTCTGAGATGAAATTGAGGAAAAATAGGTACATGGGTAGATCAAGCTACATAGTAAAAGTGTTGTTATGAATATTATGAAAGTAAAAGCACGTGTATCAAGTTGCATGAGAATCTGTTTTAGTGGGTTATCTCTATAAATAAATGCTGTTCAGTTGAATAAGTATTCTTTTTGTTTTTCAGATTACAAGTTACTGGCTTCCTTTCATTAGAGACCATTTAGGAGAGGATCATAATACACCAGTAGTTTTAGTAGGAAATAAAACTGACCTTGTAGAATACAGTTCTTTGGATGTAAGTAAATATTGTGTTAGTAGAGAAAGTACAGCTTGACTCTGTAGAAACTTTTACAAGTAATAGCCCTTGAATTTCTTAGGAAAATGAACAGATGTTCAAAAACATAAATGCAATATTACAGTTCCATAGATGTAAACAAATATTTTCTGTAAGTGTGATAAAGGTAAAAAAAGAGTTTTTAGGTTCCAGTTTCTTTCATTTGTTTTGAAGAAAAATTGATCATGCATAAGATAATTTTTATAGGTAAGTAAAGAGAGCACTTGGTATTATGTATAGAGCTTAAGATCTGTAATTTAAGAACATTTAATCTAGATGTTGTAAATTTTGAGTGGCTCTTGTAGAGAATAAAATAAACCTTTTAAGAAAGTGTGTGTATGTGTGGACTTATTCTGTGGGAGTAGTGAAAAAGTGTAAAACATTTATTTTAAAGAACACGTGTTAGCTATATGTAGGAAAGAAAAGGTGTACAAGTTACATTTCTATTGAGATTGTATTATGTGATTTTGAAAATTATAATTTTATTTCTAACATTTCAGATGATTTTACCTATTATGAATCAGTTTGAAGAAGTTGAAACTTGTGTTGAGGTAAGATACTAGTGGAAAGAGCTGAGTTTAGCTAAGATTCGTAGTTCGACTTTCTATGTTGTCTTTAAGCATGAAGTTTCATGAGACCTCTGAAATTGATAAGTTTTTTTATTTTAGAAGTTAGATGTCCACTTGACATGACCTAGTGACTGTTTGGATCACAACTAAATTGTTTTTTTCCTGATATTTCAGTGAAATTTAAAATAAATGTTTGTTTGTTTTCAGTGCTCGGCTAGAACTTTGAAGAATATATCTGAACTGTTCTACTATGCTCAGAAGGCTGTCTTACATCCAACAGCACCACTTTATCTGCCAGTGGAGAGAGATGTAAGTACTTTTTTTTTCTTATGTATCTACCTGCTTCTTAAGTTCTTTTTCTGATTATGATTTTTCTCATATTTTTAACTGTTAAGTGATTTGAATGAATCTAGGGTTGCTCGAAACGTTAGTTTTGGATCGTATGGAAAATATAAAGTTAATGATCACTTATTAAAATTAAGTTGATTTTGAAGGATTATTTCTTTATTAGAAGATTTATTAACTTAATTTCTTCATTGAACTGAAAAGGATTAAGTTAGAGATAAATCAGTTGAAAAAAGTTCAGTATCAACACCATTGAGAGGGCTGTCTTTTTATTTTAAAACTATTTATTTGCTCTTGTTCTTTTTATAGTGTAAGTAAAAATATAGTGATATAGTTTGTATGTACTTTCATAACATTCCTGCCGTACCTTTAGGGGTTTTTTAAGTCATGTTTTTGTCTTACTAACTGTCTCATTTTCTTTCATTACAATAATTGGCTAGGAGGTCATTAACCTTTCAAGAACATATGAATGTAATCCTGTTATATGGGGAACCCCTATTTATCCAGTGACAGGTCATAACGGTCTTTAATATTAGGCATCATTGGTATAAGACTCCTTTGTGTCACGTGGATGTTGATTATTTGCTTGTCAAGTTTTATGAAGTTGATTCTCTACTCAATCATGAGCCATTTGAATTCTGATCTTATACTACTAGACTTTTTTTTTTGAAGTATTCATTAAACACTTAGCATATATCATGCATCATAATAGATTAGGAAGCCTGATCAATAATGTCTGGTTGTGATATCAGTGTTGCATATTTCGACCAGCTGTGATTTGTGCCTTAGCCTGCTCATAACTCAGAGTACTTAACATGAATGTTAGAGACAGTACAAAAGTTTAAGTAGATTGTTTTCATACATTTATAAAGAATGGATTTTTTTATTCTTTCCTTTCAGCTTACAGAGAAATGTAAGAAAGCCCTTACAAGAGTTTTCAAAGTAAGTAATAATATAATGTTTCAGCAGGTTTTTCTATGTTTAAGTTTGGTAAATTTGTTTGTTTGTTTGTTTTTGAATTTCGCGCAAAGCTACACGAGGGCTATCTGCACTAGCCGTCCCTAATTTAGCAGTGTAAGACTAGAGGGAAGGCAGCTAGTCATCACCACCCACTGCCAACTTTTGGGCTACTTTTTTTACCAACGAATAGTGGGATTGACCGTCACATTATAACGCCTCCACGGCTGAAAGGGTGAGCATGTTTGGTGGGATGGGGATTCGAACCCGCGACCCTCAGATTGCGAGTCGAGCGCCTCCTAACCACCTGGCCATGCCGGGCCGCTTGGTAAACTTCAATTCTTCTCTAGCATTTACTACCCTGTGTATTTAGTTATTTGGTTAATTTCTTTTTTTTTACCTACTTCTTTAACTCTTTTTCATATGGCTGGGTCAAAGTGCACGTCTCAAGCTCTTACATTTCTCTGTTCACAATTTAATTAAACAAATTTATTATCAATGTGTGCCAATAAACTTGGCATAAAAATTTCTTAATTCCAAAAAGAAATATTTACAAAAATGTTCATTCTTCACGTGTCTATTACATCAATAATACAATTAGAAACACAAACTATACATAATTACAAGCAATAATATAAAATCTGAACCTCCTACCTTTTTCATTTGTTGAGATATCAATAAATTTGTAAGATTTACCAGAGAAGCTCCTCCCATCCTTCTGTCTTTCAAGACAATTATATACTCAAGTGTACGTTGATAATGGAAAAGTTTATACAACCAATAGAAATATTAGAGCCTTCATTACATAAATCTTACAATTCTTTGTTTCTTTTTTGACAGTGAAAAACAGATATTGAGGATAAGTGATTGGTTTATCATGAACAAAGCTGTTGCTATAAGAAATAACAGAATGTTTTAAATCTATTCATAGCTTAGTTATAAACTTTCATAAATTATAATAGTTTTGGGACACTGTTCTGGTGCCTTTTTTGTCTTTTAAAATTCAGTTTGAAAGGTGTATTAATTTTTTTTTTTATAATAAAGTTAGAAAAAAATAAAATCTTGTAGAGGTATGTCTGGGGGGGGGGTGCAAAGTTTGTATAGTTTATGTGTGGAGAATGTGTATTGAATGAGAAACTTTTAATGTGTTCTTGCTATGATTTATTGCTTCTCAAAAATGGATAAACTGCTTCAAGCCGGGCAATAAAACCATAATATCAGAAGAAAAGAGATGTGAAAAGGTTAATAGTTGAAATTGTGAAGATAAATAGTTTGAAGATCTGAAATCAATTATTTGTTCAAAGAAGAAGAAAGGGTATTGTTCATCTTGGTTGACATTTTTCATTCAGTTCACTGTACATTGTAGATATCACAACGGTTAGTGTTAGGATAGACAAAATAAGAGATAAAATGTAGAAGTTTATCGAAAAAACTTTATTAGTTTAGGAGGTTCTAAAGATCATACAAACGAAATATGAAAACTTTAAAATGAAAATAAATATTTTTATTCTCAATATGTAAATCACTTTTCAATCAGTGACTCAATAAAGTCTTTGTAAATTCACACCCAAATCTTTAGTGAAAATGCTTTATCAAAAATTATTTTTGTATCTAACAAACTAGTAATTTTGCTAAAGGCATGTCCAATTTCTTTGAGATACACTTAGTACATTCAGTAATTGTTTTTGTTTTGGTGTTAGAAAATTTTGATTTTGTTTCATTGCTTATAGTTATTGGGAGAGTAATAAGAAAATACTTGTTAAATAACAGTTCATATCACATTTTACTCATGTCTGTTTTAATAATTCTACTTTATTTTTTGTTGTTTAGTTCATACACTATTTCTAGTTTTCTTTTATGCCATCTTTTAAGGAATACTGTGTTTTTTAAACAGATTTGTGACATGGATAACGATGGTTCTTTGAATGACGTGGAGCTCAATGACTTTCAGGTAAGACACTCGTTATTCGGGTGGTTTCACCCCAAGATGCTTTTTGTATACTGGCAGTTTCTTTATTAACTGTTATTAAAATTTTGGCTGGTTAATAGTATGATTACTATGTAGAATGATACTGAAAATGAATTGAACCAAAACTTGAAATAAGTCTACATTATTTGTAAAAGACAAAGCACCAAACTAAATACTTGTAAACAAACATTTGTTTTTTTTTTTTACTATATATGTTTTTGATGTCAAGTGGCTGCTGCAGCAATTATCTGAGATATTTTAAGAGTTCCTGATCTTTATCAATGACTTGGGATCTTAGTTTAAAGAGTATTATTTATTTGTTTGTTGAATTTTGCACAAAGCTACTCAAGGGCCATCTGTGCTAGCTATCCCTAATTTAAAGTAATAGATTAGAGTGAAGGCATCTAGTCAACACCACCCACCACAAAGTTTTGGGTTACTATAATCAAATAGTGAGATTGACCATCATATTATAATGACTGCACGGTTGAAAGGGCAAGCATGCTTGTTGATGGGATTTGAACTCGTCACCCACAGATTGTGAATCGAGCACCTTAACCACCAGGCCAGTTATCAGTATTTGCTGGAGCAGAAAGATACAGGAACTTGTTTGTAAAAGTCCATTTAGCTAGCTGGTTGGAATGTACTAAGTCTAACTAACTGCTTCTAAGAAAGAGAGAATGTTTTGAGAAATCTTCTTACAGCTCTATTTTTATGTAAAAAATATCCAAGACAAATACACAGATTTGTTTTAAAGAAAAGGGAAGATATTTAACTTTTCTAATCAGATTTAACGATACAAAACACTAGATATTTCTTACTTTCCTTATTTAAAGGGTGACAAGTATGAGATTAATTTTTTTGTTTGTTTAAACTTATATATAAAGCCTTAAAAAAGCTTAAAAATTCTTGAACACAGAACTATAAAAAGAACAACCAAAAGTAGAAATTGACTCATTAAACATGAGCAATAGGTGTTATAGTCCATGTTTTGTTAATCATACAGATTTTATTCTAACACTACAAAACTCCTATTTCTGAACTTTTGTTTGGCATAATTATTTTAGGCACAGTTAATGTTTAAAACAAATTTATTTCTCAACATACTGAAATATTATACTTAACCCTATCATCCCAGGTATCCTTTGCTGCACATGACACAAAGTATTAGTGTCTTACATTCAAAATTTTATTAAACTACTTTTTGTTACACAAATTTGAATAGCATGGAATCTTAGCTAATAATCCATATTTTAATAGTATACAAGTTCTAAGTTCTACAAGGAAATATTTTTAAAAATCCTGAATTTCCACTAGTGTGACATGCATGACACATTTTGTCTTAACATGTCATCATCCCTATTTTATCTATCACCTCTCAAAAATGTATGAAATTAAACATAAAATACTCTCTATAAAATTGTTAATGTTCAAACAAACCATAATTTTTATAGCCTTCAATTTTGTTTGCTTACAGAGCTATCAAATAGAAAATCAGACCCCTCCTGCCACATCCTCTCTTTCACAATTCGTTGATAGTTCTCTCTTACATTTCATTATATATTATCTATAACTAATAGAAAGTCAAGGTTTGCACCTATCAAATGTCGTATTGTATAACATTGTGTTCTGAACAGAATATCGTCAATTTCACTCACAGTACAAGATTCATTCCCATGGGAAAGTTAACGACTAGCTTGGATGAATTTGTAACGGCTCTTGTTGCATAGTTAGAAAGACAGAAACATTTTGAAAGGTAAGTGAATTTGTCTACCTTTTGTGTTTCATTAGTCTATATTCTTTGGTGCATTATTTAATTAAATAAAAATTGTTAAGTGCTTTACTACAATTACTATAAAAAATCAGGCTTAACTCTTGTCGACAATCGAGGGCAAGAAAAAAGAAGATTGGGTAAGTACTTTTTTCTTGTTTTTCTTATTTATTATTATAATAGTAATATAATTAAAATGGTTCATGAGGCAAGCACACGAGCAGCTCGTGGATAATGTAATTCAATAGCGTAATGTGAGCTGCACATTCCCCGAGTGATTTACAACTTATAATGGCACGGATAGTAGTCAGACACAGTTCAAATTTCAATAAAACATTAAGATTTAATTATAAATAGATGTATCCTGTTACGAACTTAGAGCTACTTAGGATAAACAAATGTAGTTTCATGTTATAATTTGAAGTCATTCTAGAAAGAAAAAAAAGGTTAATTTAGGTTTATTTCGATGTTTTTTTTTTTTTTGGTGGTTACAAGGTCGGTTGAATTGAAATAGGGTAGGGAAAATAACAAACTATGAAGTTTTAGTGAAAAAAAACATTTGAAATGCATTTAGGAGGTTTTAGGGATGACACCAAGGAAATTTGAGGTTTTTAAGATGACGAAAAGTATTTTTAATTTTAACATGAAAATTACTTTGCACACGGATTCAAAACAAATACTCAATATATTCATGGACAAATCTTTATTTTATTTTATTAAAAATCCTTCACTAAGAAATATGACTTTTTGTATGTGAAAGACTTGTAATATTAACTGAAAGATTGCCAAATTTTGTGAAGATATTACCCAGTATATTGAGGAAAGTTATAAGTGTTAAATTTATTAAGACTTTAAACGAGTACAAAAGGTCACGTGACTAGGTCAAATTGACCGACCCCATGTTGAGAGAGTTAAACAAGTATAATTTTAAGACCTTATTTTTTATTTTGTAATGTGTATGGGGTTTATTAGTTCAATATATGAGTTATAAAGGATAACAAGAATTGAAATAATTTATAGAGATTGTAAATCTGTTTACAAAAGTCATAAGCTGCAAAATTCAATATGTAAAAATATGATTTTTGTGAACACTGAAAATTATTATTTTCTGTTTTAACAATTGACTTGTGTTTTAGATTTTTTTTTAGCTAGTGTCTATTGAAGCGGTAGTGCATTTTTTGTTTTTTTAGAGACGATGTTTTAATGCCCCACTAAACCCTCAAGCTTTGGATGATGTCAAGGCCATAGTAAAGAAGAATGTGGATGAGGGTATTTCCAATACAGGCTTGACTTTAAAAGGTTTATACAATAGACATGATTTGATAATAGAGATATATAGATTTAGTTTTTTTATTTCTTGTTTAGAATTATCCATCTGTGTCATATCTATAATAATAATAATAAGCGAGTAAAGTTGTTTTATAAAGTGATGTGCATCTCATTGTGGCCCACTGACGTTTCATATGGAAACCCATTTGACTGTCTCCAGTCAAGTGTATTGCTTCAAAAATACATGCACTTGATACAGGATTATATAATGCTAGTTTTCAAATGTTTTATGTGTCTGTGTGTGTGTGTGTGTGTGTGTGTGTGTGTGTGTGTGAGAGGTACCCGTGTACACATGTATCTGATTTTTTTTGATAATGTATTAAAGTTATGACTTTTTATCAGAAGTTTGGTCTGAAAGATCAGACTAATAATTTCATGTGAGCTTTTTTAAAGTCTTAAACTTGAAATACTTCTACTCAAGCATCTTTTTATAATAGCATTTTTATATGCAGTTTTTCTCTTGTATCTTTTTGTCATTTGAAAAGCTGTGAAGAGAATTATGAGACTTGATACAATGTAACAAGTTTTTTTTAATTTTTCTTCAGTTTCACAAAAAACAAATTTATAGGAATCTTGATAAGTATGGTGTTCTTGGTTGTCTTTTCTCACCACTGTGAACCTTCACCTGTGTGTCCTTCAACTCCTATATAAAACACTGTTTGTGGTACATATACTCCACCATTATATGAAGTCCAGTCTCATTCTTTCCATTTGCCCTTGCCCAGGGTTACAATGACAGGAGGAATTTTTGGAATCTGTATAACTATAACAATTGCTGAATTAATAATAGAATGGGCTTCATTTTGATTTATAGTCTTCTTGTTAATTCCTGTTCATGTTTTAAATGTAATTTATTTCCAATACGATATCTTACCTCCCTCACAATATAGCTTTTCTTGATTAGTACTGCCCTCTATTGGCACAAATTTTCAATGCTCACCACTAGCCTTCCACCTTCCCCTTTCTGCATATCCATATGTAAATGATTATACAGCAGCTCTCCATCAATAGGAGCGTGATACAACCTCTAGCGTAACCAGCACCTTCTCAACATTTGCACTATTAATCAGTTTGAGATTGGTCGGAAGACCTACACCACATATCACTGGAAGTGGGGAGGCTGGGTGGGAAATGTGAGAGGAGGTAAGTATATATTGGAAATACATTTTCAATTTAGGAAAATGTTAACTTCTGATTAGATATCTTACCTCTTCTCACAAGAGAGCTATAATCCCAAATTGAACTGGTGGAAGACTAGTTAAAAAATTACCCCCCACCTCCTTTAGGAAGTCCACAAAGAGAGACCATGAGGTGTGGAACCAAAAAAGAAAATGCAACTCAGCGGAATATCGCACCACATCTGATCCAGGTATAATCTTTAGTCTTCTATGACTGTGTCACAAACATTAAAGACAGAAAAACACTATGGAATCCCATAATACGTATTACTGATTAATGGGACCCCTGGGTGTTGAGTGGATAGGGTGCAACAGACCATAGGCCTACAGCCTTGTACAGCTACAAGTGTAAAGTTATTTGCCAGTATTTAAGAATCACTAAGTATTTTCTTCTTCTTAGTAAAATTTAAGAATTACAATGAATTATTTATTACTGATCTCATTAGGTGTAGTTGTCATCTTTTCTCTCTCTATATTCTAGAGTAAATCTATTTTGCAGAGAAAACTGAAGAATTTCATAAATGTAAAATTCTGTATGAAAAAATATTATACTATCTAGAAGCCAACTTGAAAAGCAGTGTCTTCAACACTTTTTGTTATCTAAATCTGAGCATACATGCATGAGTGTTTTGTTGTCTGTCATCCATGTCTGAAACTTGAGAGCTATAAATATAGCAAAAAAAGTTTTATTTTTCTCAGTTTAATTGTGAATTGAGCAAAGTATTTAACAACAGAAAGAAGTTAAAAGTACACCCACACATGAAGAAAAAAAACCAGTGTAAAACCAAGATATTAATTTCATTGTATAAACCGGGAATTGTCTTTAAAATGAGGTTATATACAAACAGTGTATTTTAACTATCGTTTGAAGCTACTGTCAATACTTTTCCATCCCTGTCATGTATAATAATTGATTTTGTAACTTGAGTTTCAGGGATACTTTTGAAACTTCGGAGTATGTAGACTTAGGTAGTTGTGTGACACTACAACTGTATGAAAGTATGTAACAGTTTTTGGCCATAATGTTAACCCTGAGAAGAAAGTATGAACCAAATTAACATACTTCTATTTTTTTAACTTGGGTTTCAGGGATACTTTTGAAACTTCGGAGTATGTAGACTTAGGTAGTTGTGTGACACTACAACTGTATGAAAGTATGTAACAGTTTTTAGCCATAATGTTAACCCTGAGAAGAAAGTATGAACCAAATTAACATACTTCTATTTTTTTAACTTGGGTTTTATTTCTGCAGTTTTATTGTTTTAACCACCTGTCAACAAGAATTTCTCAGTATAATCGTAATGAAAGACATTCTTATAATTACACACATTCTTTAATTAGTTGTTAATATTTCATTGTCTATGTTATGTAAACCTTGGTTTATATATTATTGTTTTAAACTTGGTCAGGTTTTCTCTTTCTTCACACACTGTTCATTCAACGAGGGCGACACGAAACAACTTGGACTGTTCTAAGAAAGTTTGGCTATGATGATAACCTGTTTTTATCAAAAGACTACCTCAGTCCTAAGTAAGAGTGTGGATATTTTGTGATTTCTTGTACTTGATATAGGTTAAGATATAACATTTGAATAAGGTAAGTGAAAGTAAACGTAGAAAATATAAGGTATTAGCTTCATATTTTTGCAAGGATTATATCTTATGGGTGGTGTGATTATGTACTAATTGTTCTCAAAGCTAAATCCTAGCAACTAGAATGTGCAACAGAAGTCAGTAAAACCATTACAAAGCTAAGCCCACCTAGAAGGATGATTATACTACTTGTTTGAATTTATGAGATTGAGTGTTTTACTTGGAGGCTTCTGTATGCTATAATTGTAGCAGAAGGCTCTATTAACCATAATTTCAAATTAAGAGATTTAAAATAGCATGCTTTAGATATAACTTTAAGACATACCATTTTTTGTTTTCTCATTAATACTAAATGATAGTTTACTAATAAGTTGAAGAATAATATTGTGGTTCATTTAACTGTTTTGGCATCTGTTGTTTTTTTTTATCTGTTTCAGTCTTAAAGTCCCTGTGGGATGTAGCACAGAGCTGTCTCACCAGGGTTACCAGTTTCTTCACAAACTGTTTGAAAAACATGATTTGGTATGTCACTTTCTTGTGTGTATTTTAATCATACAACAAGTTACGAGAAGGGGACTCATACTTTGTGTGTGAGACATTTTTTGGTTGTGGTATTTTGTATTGCAGTTTATAAAATGTAAAACCAATCAGGATCACCTCTGCTGCCCTACAGTTAAGTGACTTGCGTATGAGGTTAGGTACATACAGTTCTGAATTACTCTGATGGCTGTTAAGGGCATCTTGGTAACTGCGAGGTTAAACCTATTTCACAACACCTCTAGTACAAAAGAGACTTTGAGCCAAATGATTTGATCAAAAATGACAAACCAGTCGACTTATCCAATAAGAGACACCAGATCTAGAAATGCTTTCAAAACCTCGGTACTGAGGCAAGTATTAAAACTCTGATATTGCTCTCAGTTCCTACTCAGTAGTCTGACAATACCGGTACTCTTAAGTGTCTATAAACAAAATTCAAACACGCATATAAACACTGCTGTCTGAGATGGGGCTCTCGGTGATGACAGATTCGTTTCCCCATTTGCATTGCATAGTACTATTAACACCCACCCATCCCTTACTCGTATGGTGATGTTATTTGTACTTCCCTACTCTAATTTTATTTTTGTCCCGGCATGGCCAAGTGGTTAGGACACTCGGCTCGCACTCTGCGGTCGCGGGTTCGAATCCCTGTCACACCAAACACGGTCGCACTTTTAGCTGTGGGGAGCATTATAATGTGACGGTCAATCCCACTATTCATTGGTAAAAGAGTAGCCCAAGAGTTTTGCATAGTTTAGTGAAGTTTAAGAAGGTTCCCATACACATGTTACTGTTAATTATATAGTTGTTGGAATATACTCAGTTCAGGCTCTTTAGTGAGTAAGAAATTATCTTCACCCCACCCACAAAGGAGAATCATTGTGACTTGCATAGCTGTTCATCCCAAAAAATAATATTCTGATATTTAAAGTTTAAATTACCAACTTATTTATATAGTGAGATCCACATGTTGTATGATTTTAGGTTTTTGCCTCTCACAACATTAAGTATAAAGAACTGACTAAAATAGTTGAATGAAATAACTCGTGTGTTATATAAAATAAACAAGAAATCCCAGAAGTAATATTATCAGTATTTTTTGTTTACATTCTTGTGTGCAACTTGAGTTGTTTCTTATCACGTGTTCTGTAATCAGCAAGTCATGGAACCGTAAGTAGATTATTTGTAATTGTGTAGAACCCTTTTTTATTAATCTGATGGAGTGGGTGAATTCTAGGGTTAAAAGTGTAAAAACCTGTTATCTGAATAAATACAATTATTTATTTCATTTCAGTTCTTCATTAGAATGTGATGAGGAAAAAAAAAATTGAAACTTTTAAGTATGAAGTAACTAAATTTATAATTTTGATAATTGAGGAAATGAATGTGAGTGATGATTAGTGTGGAGTAATAATAGAAGATTTGAAACGTTACTGTGTTATTCCTTAAACAGGACCAAGATGGATGTCTGTCATCTCTGGAGCTTCAAGACTTGTTCAGTATCTGCCCAATCTTGCCCTGGGGTCCAGAACTCCCATACACTGTACCAACCAATGAGAAAGGGTGGATCACATTACAAGGATTTCTTGCTCAATGGACGTGAGTTGACAGTTCTTTATTTTTCAGAACATAATCATGTAATATGTTGTTGTTTTTATTTGTACTAATTCATGAGACCAAGTAAATTTCTGAAACTTTTAAAAAAAAAAAAGAAGCAAAATATGGAGTTACTTGACTGTGTTTCAGAAGGTTTTTAATTATTATCTCCATATCATTTAAAGGCCTGGTGGTTAGGGTACTCGACTCGAGGGTTTGAATCTCAATAGCTGAACGTGCTCACCCTTTCAACCTTGGGAGTGTTATTATGTGACAGTGAATCCCACTATTCATTGGTAAAAGAGTAGCCCAAGAGTTGATGGTGAGTGGTTTTGTGTAGCTGCCTCCCTTCTAGTCTATCATTGCTAAATTAGGGATGGCTAGTGCAGATAGCCCTTAAGTAGCTTTTCCCAAAATTCAAAAACATATAATTTGAATGAATATATTTGTTGCTCTACAAGGTAGTTTTTCTATTGTGTAATTCTTGTTTATGCCATCTGTGATATTGTTATTTGTGTAATTGATGTTTATGTCATCTGTGATATTGTTATTTGTGTAATTGATGTTTATGTCATCTGTGATATTGTTATTTGTGTAATTGATGTTTATGTCATCTGTGATATTGTTATTTGTGTAATTGATGTTTATGTCATCTGTGATATTGTTATTTGTGTAATTGATGTTTATGTCATCTGTGATATTGTTGCCTGTGTAATTGATGTTTATGTCATGTGTGATATTGTTGCCTGTGTAATTGATGTTTATGCCATCTGTGATATTGTTGCCTGTGTAATTGCTGTTTATGCCATCTGTGATATTGTTATTTGTGTAATTCTTGTTTATGCCATCTGTGATATTGTTATTTGTGTAATTCTTGTTTATGTCATCTGTGATATTGTTGCCTGTGTAATTGATGTTTATGCCATCTGTGATATTGTTGCCTGTGTAATTCTGTTTATGCCATCTGTGATATTGTTGCCTGTGTAATTCTTGTTTATGCCATCTGTGATATTGTTGCCTGTGTAATTCTTGTTTATGCCATCTGTGATATTGTTGCCTGTGTAATTGCTGTTTATGCCATCTGTGATATTGTTGTCTGTGTAATTCTTGTTTATGCCATCTGTGATATTGTTATTTGTGTAATTGATGTTTATGTCATCTGTGCTATTGTTATTTGTGTAATTGATGTTTATGTCATCTGTGATATTGTTGCCTGTGTAATTCTTGTTTATGCCATCTGTGATATTGTTGTCTGTGTAATTGCTGTTTATGCCATCTGTGATATTGTTATTTGTGTAATTGATGTTTATGTCATCTGTGCTATTGTTATTTGTGTAATTGATGTTTATGTCATCTGTGATATTGTTGTCTGTGTAATTGCTGTTTATGCCATCTGTGATATTGTTATTTGTGTAATTCTTGTTTATGCCATCTGTGATATTGTTGCCTGTGTAATTCCTGTTTATGCCGTCTGTGATATTGTTGCCTGTGTAATTGCTGTTTATGTCATCTGTGATATTGTTGCCTGTGTAATTGCTGTTTATGCCATCTGTGATGTTGCCTGTGTAATTGATGTTTATGCCATCTGTGATATTGTTGCCTGTGTAATTAATGTTTGTGCCATCTGTGATTTTGTTGCCTATGTAATTGTGTTTTTCATAATTTCTATTGATGGTGAACAATTGCTGAAATAATGGAGTTTAGAAGGTTATAAGAGGAGAACAACCAACAAAAATTGAGAATTCAAGGCTTTTTTTATTATTCTTCCATGTAGATATATTCATTAGAATGCTCTTTTATATTATTACTAGCTGAGTTACCTGGCATTACACAGTGAAAATTTAGATTTGAAATGTATAGATCATTATTTTTTCAGCAAATTATTCAGTAAGTAGACAAAAGCTGTGATGCAAGAAATAAAAAAGTATTTAATCATACAAAGCTTTATTTGAAATTAGATCGTGTTTGAGCTTGTCTTGTTCTTTGAGCCTAAAGTCGTACATCATGTTGCTCCTCTGTTTCTTGCTCTATGTAAGTTATTTGTCTTAATTTTTGTGCTTGAAGTCTGGTTTGATGTTCAGAAGTTTCTTCTTGTCTATATCCAGCTTACCTTGATGATTCTGACTGAACTCTGGCTTTGTGCTGTTCAACAGTTTCTTGCTGTCTTTGAGTAGCCTACATTTCAGCTTGAGCTCGAAGTCTAACTTTACATTGTCCCAAAGTCTCTTCCTGTATTTGAGCAGCCTGTCTTACAGCTTGTGCTTGAAATCTTTGATTGTGCTCTTCTTCTGTTTCAGCTGCTCTTTCCATAGAAAAGGCGTTTCTTGGGTGGCATAAACACCTGTATCACTAAACAATAATTTGCAATTCATAAAGTTACTAAATAAATTATGAAACCACTTGGCACCATTTAAAGAAAGCTGTTTTTGGAAATACTGAATTGACAGCAAGGTGATCTGAGTGTCTCCTGCCATAATGCTTTCTATGTGCAAAACATGCTTATGTTTGTATGTTTATTACAAAAAAATTATTATAAAAAATGGTGCAATAAACATTAATTGTAAGTTTCGTCATTAAATACTACACCAAATACAAAATAAAGTAGCACCATTAGATTTGTTGTAAAA